CACCCGTGCTGCAGGCACCCGTGCTGCACGTAAAGAAAATTTCCTCATGGTAGATGAAATACCACTGCCCACACTACGGAAGATTTGGGGCCGAATCGTGGAGACATCGGTCGATAGCTATTTAGTCTGTGTGTCGTTGGGGCTTTACGACGACGACGACACACTCAGCTGCTGAGGCTATATGGCGTCGCCTGCCTCTCACCCTGGCAGGAAGGGCGGGCATCGCGGGGAATCGAGCCCCGTTCCTCTGGTTTCCCAGACGCGCAGTGGTCGACGCTTACGCGTAAACCGCTACACTACCGGCACCCCAGCTATTTAGTGTAATTGTATTAACTTAGAGGGGTTCACGGCCCCTTCACTGTGCGAGTCCTCCCCGCGCCTCCTCCTCATCGGCTACGTCCCTGACCTTAATAAACACTAAGCAAAGATGAAAAGTTTGTTTGGGGAGGGAGCTGAAGGAACAACTGATCCCTCTGCAGTCTGCACGGCTGGGTGCACCTCTGCGGTGCCCCAAGCTCCACCCACCTGTAGAGGCAGCGGAGCCGGGCCGGGTCGGGCCGGACGCCCAGAAAACGCAGCACGCGTCCCAGCTCTGTCGGCAGGTCCTCCAGCAGCCGCTCGTACCGCACCAGCAGCAGCTGGTCCGTGGGACACTGACCAATCCAGTCAGCGTACAGCTTACGCCAAAACAGAGCCTTCTCGCTCACGTACTCTTGCCAGCCTGCCGGGGGCGAATCAGCATGAGTGGGCGCTCTTCTCGGTGAGAGAGAGAAAGAGGGAAAGAGAGAGCGAGAGAGAGAGAGGGAGAGAGAGAGGGGGAGAGAGAGAGAGAGAGGGAGACAGGGCGTGCGTGCGTGCGTGCGTGCGTGCGTGCGTGCGTGCGTGCGTGCGTGCGTGCGTGCGTGCGTGCGTGCGTGCGTCGTGCGTGCGTGCGTGCGTGTGCGTGCGTCGTGCGTGCGTGCGTGCGTGCGTGCGTGCGTGCGTGTGTGTGTGTGTGTGTGTGTGTGTGTGGTGTGTGTGTGTGTGCGTGCGTGCGTGCGTGCGTGCGTGCGTGCGTGCGTGCGTGCGTGCGTGCGTGCGTGCGTGCGTGCGTGCGTGCGTGCGTGCGGCGTGCGTGTGTGTGTGTGTGTGTGTGTGTGTTGTGTGTGTGTGTGTGTGTGGGGGTGTGTGTGTGTGTGTGTGTGTGTGTGTGTGTGTTGTGTGTGTGTGTGTGTGTGTGTGTGTGTGTGAGGTTCACCCACCCACGGCTCCCGTGCACCAGGCCCCCAACATGGGCGCGAGAAGCCCTGGTACGCCGCCCCCAGCAACGCCCGATAGCGCTGGCACCCGTCCTCAATACCGCCAGAGGTTCACCGTGCTACATCAGAATGACTCGGGCTCACAACACCAGAACCCTGTCGGGGCAGACCTTCCTTTAGAAAATCTCGCAGCATCGGCCCAAGTCCACTGAAAATCAAATGAACCGTGCTGGTTCACACACTCCAAACCTCGTTCATATTCAATAACGTAATTGTCAAGGCGTGCGCTCCACCCGTCGTGACACGAATCGCATCTGCACTTGCCACTTGCTTCCGCGAGCTGGACTCACACCGAGTAAACGCCTGGGACGAGCCTGACCGGGGTCAGCAGCACAAACTCGTGACGGTCGACCGGTGAGCAGATGTGCGCTAAGGTTCCAGCACGTGCGCGGGAGGCCTGTACCGGGGCTGGCGACCCGGGATCAGACGGACGTTTTTTCAGCGCTCTGATTCAAAGCGTAGCCGATTGTTCAGCTGCTTATTCATTTATTTATTACACGTCATAAGCTCACTCCACTCAGAATGTGGCTATTACAGAGCGCGTGTCATGGAAATAAAACACTGTAGGTCAGGGAGGCTCGCGCAAACACGTTCACACGCAGGCACAAATACGCGGAACGCACTCTCTCACATTCGCTAAAATCATTTGAAGTAGCCGTCACTATCCGTTATCGATCCACCGCTGCAGGATATAACTACGCAGCTTATTGCGGCCAGGACGCAAGATCGGACAATCACAATGGAGTCATTGTCGTGACGGCTCGGTTACCTGCGACCGCAGGCCAGAGAACATGGCTGCGACTGCAGGCCGAGAGAACATAGCTGCGACCGCAGGCCGAGAGAATATAGTCTGCGACCGCAGGCGAGAGAACATAGCTGCGACCGCAGGCCGAGAGAATATAGCTGCGACCGCAGGCCGGAGAACATAGCTGCGACCGCCGAGAGAATATAGCTGCGACCGCAGGCCGAGAGAACATAGCTGCGACCGCAGGCCGAGAGAACATAGCTGCGACCCAGGCCGAGAGAAACTAGCTGCGACCGCAGGCCGAGAGAATTACTGCGACCGCAGGCCGAGAGAACATAGCTGCGACCGCAGGTCGAGAGAACATAGCTGCGACCGCAGGCCGAGAGAAACTAAGTTAAGCTGTGAGAGTATTTTCAACTTGAGCAGTCTTGAGCACTTGAGCAGTCAGAGCAGTCGACAGAGCGTGACTCGTCAGTCACGCTTCTCAGAACCTAATATATTTGCGACCACTGATCGCAGAAATGCATGTAGCTTCAGATGTGCCATGTAACTTGTAAGGCACTGGCATGCCAGGCGTTTGTTCGGACGTTCTTTTCTACAGCTCTGCAACTTCAACCACAGATCCTTTCCCCTTTTGGATCAGCATGGAACCGAAGGCAAAACTTCCTGTTGCGAAAACCCAACCACGGGGCGGTATGAGAGTTTCAGACTGACGGAGGAGAGAAGGAACCGTAATGGCAGGGGCGTGGCTCATGGGAGCAAGCGTGCACGTGCTCACGTGCCAGACGGTGGATCCGTCTGTTTTGTGGCGTTTTTAAAAACGATCTCAGATCTCAGCACCAGAGCAGGTGAAGATGTGCACAGTGGACGTGAATGCGTCATCGACAACTCACTAACATGTCCCAAAAGGGCCTGACCCATAGGTGTGCAGTTATAACCAACGCAGCTAATGCCACGGCGGTAAGCGACAGATGTCAACTTTTTTAATCGATTTCTAATACGAAACGCTGTGGCCAAATCGAGAGCCACTTGGCAATCCAAATAAAAGTCCTGTGTAAACCTGCTAGCTGTGGCCATATTACGTTTCTCGCGATAGTTTGGTTGCCATTTCCAAAAATATGACGGTTGCACAATTCGTCAATTTCGTCGATACAAATTGCCACTGCTGGCAAGCTCATAGCCAGGTAGTGTTGAACAGAGTTATTCATGAATGAAAACGTGAACTTTGCATCGGTGGACCTTTGCCTGGTAAATTATGACAACGGATCATGTCTATCATGTCTTCCCAATGTGCAAAGGTTTGGGAAATAAATTTCGTTCAAACTCAACAACACTTGCTATAGTCCTCTGATATAAGCAGTGCAACGGCGTTACCAACGCTAAACGTATTATCTGTCTCGCTGTTACGCGACGCCCCTGTTCAACTTCTCTCTGCTACAACGTTTTCCTGCCCGGCAGATTCCTCTAGCCGAATCACTGGCTGGCAGACAGAAACTGTTTCGGTCCGATGCTGTTAGCATTCTCTCAAAAGTTGCGATGCATCGTCGTTTTTCATCCCCCAATGTCCTCGCCAACGGATACATCAGGCACCATCAGCCAGCAGACCACCAACTAAACAACAACACGAATCAACAACGATCGATGGTATGCTAGCCAACCAATCAACTAACAATATGCAACTAGATACCAAAACACTAGATGCCAAACGACAGCCAATTTCCGATTCCCCATACGCGGCGGGATGGGTGGGGGTGACTGACTAGCCCCCTGACTAATCCCCTGACTAGTCCCCTGACTAGTCCCCTGATTGGGGTAGTCTGCTGCCGGTGGCATCGGCCGCGCTTAAGGTCAGGTGACGTCAAAGGGTGGAACGGGCCGTGCCGGCATTGCGGCACGTCAAGTTTTCGCCGCACTGCCGCTGCCCTGGTGCGTGTACCTTCTGAGGGTGGGGTCCCGGCACGCAACGATCACCGCTTTGGGTGAACGATCATCCAAAAAGTCATCCCTTCAAAAGGGCTCGGACTCACATTCAAAAAATTAAAAACAACAACAGGCATCAATATAGCATGCGATTAACAGGCAACTAAGCAACTTGGAACTAGCTAAGCAGCGAGCAAAATCAACAAATCACCACATCAACGAGCCAACCAACAGGCAACGAACCACAACCAACCAACAACCCGGCTAACTGGCGCGCCTCTTACCTTCTCCCTCGAAGTGGCTGGGAGGCGCGAAGCCGAGGTGGCCGGCAGCGTCCAGGTGCCGATGACTGAGCAGAGCCGCCAGCGGGTTGCGCACGAGCAGCACGGCGCGGCAGCCGAACTGCGTCACGTGTGAAAACACGCGCCGCTGTTGCTCGGGCTCCGCCGTCACGCCCTCCAGCGTGGTGAAGCCGTGCGTCTTCTGCGCGATCGTGGTGCCAGAGTCGTACGGTACTATCTCCCGTACATGCCTGAGCAACGGGGGAAGGAGAGAAATAGAGATAAGCGAAGTGTCGTGTGCACGAGTGCAGTGCAGAGGTTGCGTGTGAGATCTGCACGGCACCACTGCGTCATACGGGTCAAGGTCAGGGCACAGCAACGCATCCAGACAGGGACCTTGGGTCAGGGCTCCCTTACATTGCTGCACACAAATTTGACCGCCCTTCCGTTCGTTTAAGGCGCTCTGACATAGAGGCATAAATGTCGGCGCCATAAAGCTCATGGAAAGCAACGCCTCTAGCTCACACCAAAAACGCCATTCTGACTCCTCTCTACTCTTAGGGCTACAATCTAATGGGTTACACCAAACCCGGACTGAGAGGGCCTCAGAATCCAAGCAGGGTGCCACTTCCTTTAGCCTTGGAGGAAGAAGCGGGTGTCCTGCTCACTCCCGTCTTTACCCATAGACATGGGAGCGCAGCGGCCCCTCTGCCGACTCCTATACACACCCATTCGAATACGAGCAAAAGTAGATCCCTGCCGACCCCTGCACACGCTCATGGACACAGAAGCAAAACGGACACTCTGCTGACTCCTCTCCACACCCATGGACATAGGTGCAACACAGGCGAGTGAACCGTAACCGCCCACTTTTCATAACCAAAGGTTAAATATTAGTCAACTGAAAGCTTTTAGCAAAATATTCTGCTTGAAAATAATTTTCTATCGTTGCTGACGCTCAAGTGCTCTTGGAAACCGGACCCACCTTCCCTGATGAGCACCACGTCCGAGTACAGGGCTGCCGGTGAAGACGCCGGTGGCGCCCTCTATGAGCTGGCGGAGCCAGGTGTTGCCGCTGCTGGGCAGGCTCACCAGCGCCGTGGGCCTCAGCCCCGCAGAAAAGCGCGTGGCCATGCGGCGGCAGCTGGAGTCGGTCGCTGTCAACGCCCAGGGCCGGAACGTCCTGCCGGCGGACCGGCACGTGCCAAAGGTCAGCGAGGGGGTCGCAGTGCACGGGTACGGGTGGGTACGGGTGCTGACGGCGTCATGGCCGTACTACAGCAACCGGGTACGAGCTGGGTGAGATCTGACCGGCGCTGTCGCGGCTCTTATTCTCGCCTAACGCGATTGTGGTTTGGGTGAAAGACTCCATGTATTACACCGTAAAACGTAGAATCTTTTACGTTCTAAACATCTTCTTAAAGCAGCACTGGCTGTAATGACGTACGCAGATTGGTGTGGCGCTACCAGTTACGGCGGCCTAATGGTGAAATTAACACAGAACCAGAGTTCGCTTCTCCTGTTGGATGGCTACTTCACTGGTGCACATCTAAGACGTATCCACCGCTTCGAAGCTCTCTTTTGTCTCGAGCAGGGGTTTTCTAGCAGCCAGGCTGTAACTCTAATCGACGTATTGTGCACGCCTTTCGAGCGGCAGGCCGTCTCTTCGCTGGCGTCTTTCCCTTCTCGCCCGCCGTGCTCGGCCTCCCCCCCCCCCCGGCCTTCCCTCACGGCTCACATGTTGAGAAGAGTCCGCTGCCGGTCGTCCCAGCGCTGCAGCGGCAGCTGCTTCAGCGTCTCCAGCTCAGTGACTGTGACGGGCAGCAGGTCCTGGCGACTACGGAGCGACTTCGACCGCGCCACCCTTTTCGCCGCGGCCTTGCCGCTGCGCCCGCCGTCCCTGGCGGCTTGGGCGGGTGTTCGCCCGCGAGCAGCGCCACGTGACTGAAGCAGGCGACCATCAGCAGCAGCAGGAGGCTGCCGCCGGCCAGTAGCAGCCAGCTGCGCCGCTGCCGCGCCGCCGCATTGTGCGCACGCCCCTGCGGACAGACGGGAGAGGCGCTCGTGAATCCGTCGGAGTTTACTCCGGTTACTTGGATGGGACTCGTAGATATTTGGCGGCCCATTTGGATGATGGAATCTTGTAAAGGCTCACTGGCCATTGCTGGTTCCACTCATTTACAATGCTTGCATTCTCAATTGTAACAACCACCACACATCGCCGACATCGTCTCAGTTACGAGCGCAAACGCTCCGCAGCGCAGGTGACACTGGAGACCCACCCTACCGACCCATGCGGCACGCGTTCGTCCGAAATGCGTGTCGCTGCCATATCTAGGCTCTTGCGAGCAGATTCCAGCATGCAACAATGCTATGGCTTTGGACCGGTTGGCTTTAAACTGAACACTTTTTGGGGGGGGGGGGCAGAGAGAGAGAGAGTTCATTCCGCCCAGATTGCGCAAGGTGACATAAGAAGACCAGTTTCATTGGCATGCACACTGAATTTGTTTGAACTTCATATGGGACCGGTTTGCTCCTCCCACAACCCCGTGTGGCGGCCCCGTATGGCGGCCTTTTGTGACGGTCTTGTGTGGCGGCCTGTGTGACGGCCCTGTGTGGCGGCCCGTGTGGCGGCCCTGTGTGGCGTCCCTGTGTGGCGGCCCTATGTCGCGGCCCTTTGTGGCGGCCTGCACGCGGCCCGTGTGGCGGCCCTGTGTGGCGGCCCTGTGGCGGCCCTATGTGGCGGCCCCATGTGGCGGGCCCCATGTGGGCGGCCCCGTGTGGGCGGCCCCATGTGGCGGCCCCGTGGGGCGGCCCCATGTGGCGGCCCTATGTGGCGGCCCCATGTGGCGGCCCCGTGTGGCGGCCCCATGTGGCGGCCCTATGTGGCGGCCCCATGTGGCGGCCCCATGTGGCGGCCCCGTGTGGCGGCCCCATGTGGCGGCCCTATGTGGCGGCCCCATGTGGCGGCCCCCGTGTGCGGCCCCATGTGGCGGCCCTATGTGGCGGCCCCATGTGGCGGCCCCATGTGGCGGCCCCATGTGGCGGCCCCATGTGGCGGCCCCATGTGGCTGCCCTAGGTGCGGGCCTTGTGCGGTGCCGCGGACGTGGTAAGAGAGAAGGCTGGTACGTGTGTCGTATTGTGTGCAAAAGTATTTCTACCAAGCAAGCGTAAAAAAATGGAGGTAATGGCTGCATAAAAATGCTTTTCACAAATACGCATCTAGTTGCGGTGGAGTGCCCATTTGAAACTGGGTTGAGAGGCGTGCAGATTGTTACAACTGCTGCTCTCCTCCCACATTTTGGTGTTTGGTGCCTGGCCCCCGGGATTCGAGGCATCCGCCAATCCACTATTTGAATTCTGCTTTGGTGTCACCGACACTCTGCTATCATTGAATAGCCAACGCCTAAACACCCCGAGGAAACCTGAGTCACTGCCCCCTACCCCCTCCCCGAATGCCCTTTCGCTGCACGGCCTACAGCAGTCGATGCGCCCTACACCCCCCCCCCCCCCCCCGAATACCCCTTCCTGGATACGTCGCGTCACGCACTATATCTCCGCAAGTGCATTTACGTGCCTTCCCCTCATGGCAGCCAATAAACTGTCTTGAGAAGAAATGTGCGCTGAATTCAACACCGCAACCAACGTCGGCTTGTCCCCGCGTCATTCGATGCACCCCCGTATAGCAGCCCAGCTCCAAAAGGGTTAAACGACATCAGTCCTACAACAAAGACTGCTACCGACAGGGGCGTGAAAACATTAATTTTACCGTCAATACGCATGCGTGCCATTCGTGCTACGCAACAAAACGTATGATGCAAAAATGTAGTCATGTTATTACTTCTGCTGAGAACACTTACAGTCATTGTTCCCACACATCACTTCTACGGCAAAAAGTTACGCGCAACATTCGTGCTATACGACAAAGTTAATAGGTCAGAAATTTGTACTTGTCATTACTTCTTCTGCAAAACCTGTACGGTCCATCGCTTACTCACGGCTTTATTCTGCTGCAAAGACTCATACGCGGCAATAGCGCTGCACAACGAAACGTTCGCTACAAAATATCATCTATAACTTGTTGCAATGAAAGTAATGTTCCATATGATTACTCATATGGAACATTACTACATACATATATAACAACTCATATGGAACGTTATACCGCATAGGTCCTTGCCGTGGAATAAATCACTGGAAAACTTTTTGCACCACGCGCCCTGTGTAGTGCTCATGTCGTGTATGAGTTCTTTCAGTAGAAGTAATGTCGCCTACAGATAAAGACTGCATGTATGCGTCTTTGTTGTGGAAGTAGTGACGGATACAAGTTTTTGAAGGATAAGTTTTGTCGCGCAGCACTCACGGTCGTGTATAGGTCTTTGCAGAGGAAGTCATGTTGCGTATAAGTAAGTCTGTAGACGTTTTTGCAGTACATGTAATGCCGCGTACAACTGATGTGGCACCCCTGTCGGTACGAGTTTTTGCCGTAGCATTAATGTCGCGACACCATTCAAAGGGCGAGATAAATGGTCATGTTATAGATACTTAAAGGGAACTGTTGCCTTAGCCATCAAAAAAACGGGAGCACTGTTGGTGGCCTGCCTCCCCAAAACTGACATTCTTGGAATCAACGTGGCGAGAGGAAAGTTTCTGGAGCTCAAGATTTAAGGATCGAGAGGCCTTTACGCATGTCCAAATCAGACTACCAGGCGTTGTGCAGCGCGAGAAAACCTGCAAGTTTGGTTAGATTAGCTGATGTGATTCGCTGCGAGTGACATAGCGGTATGACGCCTCCATTTCTACGAGAATCGCAGCATCACTGCTACACCGTTGATCTACACCGTTGAAACGATCAGGAATCATGTAATCCAGTGCTATCCATGACATATGTGGAGAGGAGCGAATTTGTGGGTGGCACGCGAGGCGGCATGGCCTATTTTGCAGGCAGAGGCGACCGGCTCCGTGCAAGGCCCTGTGTACCAGCCGTGTACCAGGTACGGTCATCTGACGATTTGACCACGGAGTCCCGTCGTCAGGTGAAGTCATCGTTTGCCCTAATGTAGGCTTGTGAGCTGCACGACGAGGTGTGCAGCAGCTGTCTGATTGGACAGGGGGGATGACGTCAGTGGAATAAGTGGCCCAATGGCCGCTGAAGGAATGACAGGGATCTCGCTCCGTGCAGATCCGTAGCATATGAAACTTGCGGGAACAGCGAAGAATGACGCCTGCCGCGTGCTAAGCGATTGCGAGTCTGCCAGTTGCGAAGAGACGGGTGGAGTGAAAATCAAAACGGAGCAACCATTGGAACCCACAAACAAAAATCGAGTGATGATTTCAAAAGAAGGTTCCTTAGCCATTCTTCACCCATGACGATGCCTAAATGACTTTTTTTACAAGTAGTGAGAAGAGGAACTTTCTTAAAGGGAATGCTCCACATTCAAAGATGTCGGGCCAAACATCAGATATGATGAAATGGGCTAACTTGTAACCATTGGTATATTCTAGAGGCAAAACACTGCTCTGGACAGCACAATTTGAATGTTTAATAAATGTGTTCGTTAAAACCGCAATCGCTTTATTACGTCGTGGAACGTCTTAATGACAGCCACTGCAGGATTGGCAGCGTCAGAACTGCCCCTGCAGCGGATGAGCCAACTCACTTGCAGTACTTCAACTTGCCGAGGGTTCTATGTTTGTTTGAACGTATTTGCGGAGCCCGGACATCGTCATTTGCTCGTGTTTTGTTTTTCCTCGTATCGTTTTTATATGTTTGCCCGTGATTTTATATCATTTGATTGTACTCACCTACACATTATGGCGGTATTATGTAATGGTGTGTTTCACGTTCGTGTCGGGTTTTGAACTGAGATAGCTATTTTTAAGAACATTTGGTCAGTTTATAACCCTGCCCATTTCAAAACCAAAGACCTTCTAGCTTCTGAGTTACACGCTTGCGAATATGTGAAGACTTTTTCGTGTAAACTGTTTCTAGGTCATTCAAGTATGGGCGATGCCATAGAAAGGCCACTGAAGTCCTAGCACCACCCCATTGGTAATGCGGCGTTCAGAGAGGGACATATATATATATATATATATATATGCATATATATATATATATATATATATATATATATATATATATATTTATACATATACATATGCATTATATGTATACATGTATATATGTGTATGTATATATCATTGAGCCGTTCATATCTGGCGTTCATGAGCACAAATTCCACACATAATACACGTCAATTGGCTCCCAATTAATGTTGAGGGCTGATCAACCCTTGATCACGAAATACGTTTTGTATAAAAGGAGCTGTACAAGGCTGTCAATTACTGCGGAAATGAGACTTGTAATCGAAAAGCTAAAGAATAGCGTCCAAACCAAGCATGTGAGTATAATCCAACATCTTGAACTCACGGATAGATGCGCAAGAACACCACAACAAAGGGTCAAAACACGATTACATAACGATATTTTGTTCGAACGCTTCCAGCACCCCCACAGCCACCTCTCGGGAGATGAAGCACTACAAATGAACACTATGGTGGCAATTTTGTACAGTTGGTTTCGCAGCACCTCAAGGTCGTGAAATCGCTCCATGACGTAATCAAATAATGGCGTGTTAAGAAACGTACTAAATATAGAAATTTGGTTTGGTTTGGATTGACGCTTGCCGCGTCCCCCGCTCGGCCATCATAGCCAAAAGCTGCGGGTTATCATACAGCCAGGGGCAACTGGAGCACTTCACGAGAAGACATCCAATCCGCTCCAAGAAGACATGCAATCCCATCCAATCCACCATCCACTCCACGCGAACAATCTTTGCCTGGCAGTGACATTCCATGACGTTGTTCCATATTTTCATAAGTGTTTTACCATCATGCTCACATCATTGGCGTCATGGAGTCCCGCACAATCAGCCGCGATCACGTCCAGGCAGATGGCGTCCAGTCAGCTCGGTGCCAGCCCCGAGCGGTACGCTTCCGGGCTGGTTGTCCTGTCTCACCGCGCCCAGCCCTGCATTGATGGTTATGGGTTGATGATCATTGATGGTATCAGGTAGGACGGCGACCGTTGACGGTGGGTCGAGCTGATTGGTGATCACGCAGGGTCAAGTGCCGTGGGCTTGGTAGAAGGTGAGTGGGCTG